AAGTATTGACAACCAAAGTAAAGAAAGACATGCAATGGAGCCGAGATAAACCTACCGACTACACCCTTGTTCTAGTTTATTCTGTCACCAGGGATCTGGGCTTGTTGGTCCTCAAAATTTCCAAATACCCAGAAAAAATCATCATCATTGACGTCTTTATCCGGAGTATCCTTTATTATTTTTTCGCGCCGGCGCCATATTCGTAGGTAGTAAACCCAGCCATCTTTTGCCGAGCCTATGGAATATTGATGGAAGAGCTCGGCTAAGCCGAGGTTTAGACCAACCCGGCAATTTAGCTCGGCAATACCATTTATTATACGGTAAGAATTGGTGGAAAGTTGGGTTGGGCAAAGATTGGTCTGCCTGAGAAATTCGCAGAGGAGAGGCTGAACAGGAAATCTTAGTCCGGTTTCTACTATGGACAAAAGGGTAAAGGGAACAAAGCCGCGGTTTTCCCATGGTGTGATATCTAGGTCGGCTAAGGTGAGGTGAACATCGTCAGAGATGTTATAATCCTTTCGGAATTCAGCCATACCACCAGGTGTGTTTACTAAAAACCTATACTTTCCCATTTATGGTTTAAGTTATGAATAAAATTAAATTTGAGTTTTAGCTCGGTCGGAGAATAATGCTGAGTAGCTCGGTTGAGCGCTCAAAGGAGTGCCTGGGCAACCTAAGTCTACAAAGTGAAAAAAGAAAAAGTGTTAAGCACTAATCATTGGACCGTGCTACAAGAAACAAAGGCAAGATAAATGAAGTCCTAGCTCGGCTATGAGAATTGCTTCGCGTCTTAGCTCGGTTTGAGGAAGGGGTCTGTTACCTCGGTATGAACAAGGGATTTGTTAGCCCGGTTGTGCCTCTAGGGGCAGCATTCTTAGTTCGGTTTGAACTAAGAAGGCTGGTTTAGCCCCAAGTTGTAGCTCGGTCATGGTCGAAGCTTTCAAGCATACTATTACAAACATAGTACGGATTACTAGCCCGGCTAAGATAAATGAAACAAAAGATGGTTCGACCTGATGAAACTACTAGTTTAGCATGAAGTGCTAGTTCGGTTGGTAGTCTGGCTAGATTGACATCAACTACAAACAACTTCCTAGTTCGGTTATATTGTGATTTTGGATTAAATACAGTGTTCTGCAGATTGCTTAGTGGAATACAAGTGGTTCTTGTAAGGTTTTTCCTAGAAAACGCAAGGAAAAGCAAAAATGTGTTTTGCAAAAGGCACATAAACAATATGCTATGGATTGTAAACAATACATGGTAAAAAGAGAACAGATTTGTGTTACTTACCAGGATTAAGAGGAAGGAAATGGAAGTAGAAAACAGTAACGGACACGAGCTTCACAGTTACAAAGTTGGAAAGCAATGGAGGCTCGGAGAGAGAGAATGAGATGAATAGTGGTGTGAGTGATTCAAAAGAGAACGAAAGGGTTTGTTTTGATGGAAGGCCCAAAATTTGGGCGGGACTGTTCAAAAAAACACGAGGTACGAAGACGGCATGACAGCTACCTTCAGCCAATGAGAGTATGCTACGTGTCATTGGAATGAAAAGCGATTCAGTTGCTGCAATTGAAGGGACGTTTTGACCGGACAGATAGAACCCAGTGTAAATTTAGCTTGGCTGGAAAGGCTAAAACGTTTTAGCTCGGCTGGAAAGGCTAAAGGGTTTTAGCTCGGTTGGAATGCTAAAAGATTTTTAGCTCAGCTAGTAAATAGGTAATCCCTATCATGCTGCGCAGATGGAATTAAGGGGCAATTAAGCGAAAAATTTATATCTAAATTGGGCTTGACATCAACTACAAACAACTTCCTAGTTCGGTTATATTGTGATTTTGGATTAAATACAGTGTTCTGCAGATTGCTTAGTGGAATACAAGTGGTTCTTGTAAGGTTTTTCCTAGAAAACGCAAGGAAAAGCAAAAATGTGTTTTGCAAAAGGCACATAAACAATATGCTATGGATTGTAAACAATACATGGTAAAAAGAGAACAGATTTGTGTTACTTACCAGGATTAAGAGGAAGGAAATGGAAGTAGAAAACAGTAACGGACACGAGCTTCACAGTTACAAAGTTGGAAAGCAATGGAGGCTCGGAGAGAGAGAATGAGATGAATAGTGGTGTGAGTGATTCAAAAGAGAACGAAAGGGTTTGTTTTGATGGAAGGCCCAAAATTTGGGCGGGACTGTTCAAAAAAACACGAGGTACGAAGACGGCATGACAGCTACCTTCAGCCAATGAGAGTATGCCACGTGTCATTGGAATGAAAAGCGATTCAGTTACTGCGATTGAAGGGACATTTTGACCGGACAGATAGAACCCAGTGTAAATTTAGCTTGGCTGGAAAGGCTAAAATGTTTTAGCTCGGCTGGAAAGGCTAAAGGGTTTTAGCTCGGTTGGAATGCTAAAAGATTTTTAGCTCGGCCAGTAAATAGGTAATCCCTATCATGCTACGCAGATGGAATTAAGGGGCAATTAAGCGAGAAATTTATATCTAAATTGGGCTGAGCTGAGTAGTGGGCCACGGTATGAAGGGCTGAGTATAAAGGCCTTGGAGTTAGCCCGGCCAAAGATGGCCTTGGAGTTAGTCCGGTCCAAGATGGCTTTCAAGTTAGTCTGGTCCAAGAGAGCTTTGCAGTTAGCTCGGTCGCCACAGTCAGAGTCAGCCCGGTCGTGGTGTATTATTGTTAGCTCGGTCAGAACCTTGCTATTAGTTAGCTCGGTCTAAGAACACCATGGTTTGTACAAGGGAAACCGAGGTAAGAGCAGTGAAAGGAAGAACCAAACTATGCATAGTTTGGTCTACTCTGCGGCTTAGCATGGCCATGCTTACCTCGGTCATATTGGAATCCGACCATGGTGAAACCGTCTCACTTGGTTTAAGTAGTGTGGGGGGTGTTGAAGGATAAGCATTTATCTTTCAGGAGTATGATTCCAAGGAGGACTCTACATGGAGGAGTAAAAGTCCTACTAGGATTGTGCCACACAGAACCTATAAAAGCTCACAACATCACCTATGGAGAGGTAACACAACTTTGATTCCCGAATACACAGAGCTTTTGTCTATTTGTCTATTTTGCTGAGTTAGGCATCAGAGAGGTATCCGACACATACCCGCCGGCTAGCTCACGTTTGTGTTTTCAGGGAGTAAAGCAACGTCGTACGGAGGAGCGCAGGCTTGATCAACAGGATTATACGAGAACATTTATTTCTTTCCCGTACAATTCCGCTAAAACATATTTATGTCATTATCTTATCTAAATCATTTGCTGAGAAGTTTCATATTATATCTGCTAAATGCCTTTGTAAAGCTTTCTCTTCAACTAAAACAGATGCCAATTTTCATCATTTAGGACAGTGGTAATGTTAATGTTGCTAATGCATTTGTAGGTTTCACATTATTTAGTTGTAGAGGGGCATTTTTGTTCTTGTACTCTATGTACTTTGTTTTTGTTCCAGTGTTGCTGCTAGCATCCTAATTTCTTCTTTAGATTCCTCTTAAAAAAAATAAAATTTACAATTTTATTATCATAAAATTCCAATTTGGTCAGAGTCCTAATATCTCAAACCATAATCTTAACGTTAATTGTAACCATACCCCAACCTCAACCAACACCTACCACCATCAATTTTGGCAACCCCTCTCTAGTCCATCCCAACTTTTGTCCGCAATCCTACCCTCTCCCTACTCCTGTAGACCCCTACTTGTTCGTTTTTTGTAATTGATAATCCTGTGTGACAAAATTTTATTCAAATGTAATTGCATTCATGCTCATATCTGTGAGTTTGTGAGAGTTTAGATGCGAATCTAACCCAATTTATGCCTGAGTAGAGAAGTTTGTGCTACAGAAAAGGTCTGCCTGAGTAGAGGCATTATTGAGATTGTCAACCTTTTTGGAGTGCTCGAGCGGCAATGTGTGCGCTCGGGGCACTGTTTTGGATCATCTAGTATCTTAGTCTGATTTCAGAGATACTAAGAATCATGTCTTACCGTTCAAGCAGTAACTCTTGTGCTCGAGCGAAGTGACATATGGAAGTTCATTAGCACCATCTTACTATAGTCTAACCACTTGAGTGGTCATTCTTTCGCTCTAGCGGTCTTTGCATACCTAATTGTTATAAAATGCCTTAGTTGCTGGTTTTAGGATTTAACCCTTCTGGAATTCTCATAGAGGAGAGAAGCTGAAGTGTTCTATATTGGAGGGTGTTTATATATTTGTTTCCTTGATGAATTGACTTCATATTGACAATCATCCTGGGATTTCTTTCACTGAATTCAAATTCAAAGGAGAGATGTTCACTGGTGGATTTCGGAAAACTTGAATATGAAGTTTTTGTGGATTTTGCAATGGCTTTTTGTCGTGGATTGGACATCGGCGTTGTTATGGATTCAATGTTTGGAAAACAATTTCGAGGTGAAGGTGGTAGTGGAAGAGGTATAACAGGTTTGGTTCACTTTAAGGATAGATTCGCTAGGTAATTGAGGGTTTTCATAAGTAATTCCTTTGTCTTCTTTCTTAGTGGATTATTTTGTGGGTTTGACCTGTAATTTTTTATCATAATTGAAGGTGTTTCAATTGCGATTTTTTCCATATTATATCGTTGTGTTGATTTGTCGATGTTTGTTTTGTAGATATAATTTGGTTCTCGTTTAATTGAATTAGATCTACTTGTGTTATTGGGGATTGTTATTCATTGCTAAAATGGAATCCTAATTCCAAATAAAAAAGAAAGTAAAACATCTTTCATTAAATAGAAAAATGGTTTCATTATTACATTTACACCTCTTTTGTTTTTGAGAAATGTTAGGGATTATGAAAATTTTTTCATGAAAATGATTATGAAAAATTTGTGACCCTTAGATTACCTTGATTAGTGTGTGGTGTTTTATTGTAAGTGTAATCTAAAGGTCACAAATCTTTCATGACCATTTTCATGAAATACTTTTCATAATACCTACCATTGCTGTCTTTCTTAATCAAGAAAATATACAAATATAACATGCCCAATAAAAATAATATAATTATATTCTACAAAATTATAAAGGTCCTAACTAAAATTTTTGCCCTAGCCTCAAATAACTCTGATCATTCATATTTGGATTCTGGTTCTGCTACAATAGAGATTCAAAATTTCATCATTGGCAACATTGTTTGCAGTATTTCTATCTTCATCTCTTGTCTTCTCTCACTTACTAATTTTCATCATCATCTCAAAAAAACTACATTTTAAGGAGAAAATTAACAGAATGGATCATTCTTGATCAAACCAATTTCTCAAGTACAAGAAGCATTTGTTGAGGGATGATCTGATGTAAGAGATCTTGTCTCTGTATCTGTCTCTGTCACGGTCGCTATCACGTTGGACGAAGATTGATCAGACATGGTGTATCTACCAACAGGGAATGGAGGTTCTGATGGCTTGGGAAGATCTATTGATTGGCCTCCAAGCATGAGAACAACCTTTGACATCGAGGGCCGGTATTCGGGGTTTTCTTGAACACACAACAATGCAATGTTAATCCATCTCACAACCTCTCTTAATGGACAATTGTTGATCAAGTTTCTATCTATCAACTCTTGTGCTGTGCCATCATTCCATAGTTGCCATACCTGTTTCACATCATATTTTATTGAATTCAAAATTGGAAAGAAAAGAATCATACTATTTTAGGTCAAGAAACAAATGAGGAAGAAATGTCCTACATACATATGGTAAAAGGCTTTGGGCATGTGCCGGGAGATTGACATTGTTTTTTTCTCCGCTTATGACTTCTAACATTAGGACTCCGAAACTGTAGACATCAGACTTTATTGAAAATATTCCCTCCATTGCATACTCTGGTGCCATGTATCCACTATTAGAAAACAAAATCAAAATAACGCCTTTTATTAGTCCCCAATAGATTTTTTTTTTGATTTTTTTTTAAGAGAAGGATTAAATGAGAATGAAATGACTTACTATGTGCCTACAATTCTGTTGGTGCTAGCTTCAATTTGCTTGCCATAGAAAGCACTGGCGGTACCAAAGTCTGATATTTTTGGGTTCATCTCATCATCCAACAAAATATTGCTCGCTTTTAAGTCCCTGTGGATGATTTTGAGTCGAGAGTCTTCATGCAAATATAGAAGTCCCTTTGCAGTTCCATGAACTATAATTGCGCGCTTAGCCCAATCTAATTCCTTACATTTGGTAGCATCTATAAGAAGAAAATGTTATAGACTTTATTTTGAAATCTTCAATTAGGGAAGTAATGAATTTAGAGAGAGAGAGAGAGAGACAGCACAAACTGAAGAGAAAGGCATCAAGACTAGTGTTGGCCATGTACTCATAGACAAGAAGTGTTTCATCTCCCTCAATGCAACAACCTATGAGCTTCACAAGATTTCTATGTTGAAGCTTTACAATCAACTTAACTTCAGTCTTAAACTTATCAAGTCCTTGTCCCGAGTTCCCTGATAGCCTTTTAACTGCTATTTCCTTCCCATCATGAAGCTTGCCCTAGAATGCATTTCTCAAACATTTTAACTTGAAAAAAAAAATAAGAAAATTACACAAATATACTATGTATAAATGCCATTTACCTTATAAACGGGGCCAAAACCACCTTGTCCAAGCTTATTTGCATCTGAGAAATTGTTTGCAGCAATATGGATGGCACTTAAATGAAAGTAATGGATCTCCCCACTGTTGTCCTGGTCCGTAACAACCATAAGTTCCTCCATTTTGCGTTTACTACTACTTCGATATTCCAAAATGTTTAATAGAAGGCTTGTCTCCTGAACTGCATACCAAATAAAAATGAGATACATATTAGTATTGACAGTACGGTCATAAATCTGCTTATATTTGTTACTAGATAGTATCAATTGCTACATCAGTGAAGAGATATGCTGATTTAGGCCCACCTTTTTGCTTTCTTCTGCCATTTGTGTAGTACAAGTAGAAACCAAAGAGAGCCACCACAGTAGTTATAATTGGTACAGTGATGAGAATAATCTTCGTTGTGCTCTTTAAACCCTTTCCTGCCAAATAAGTACTCAGATTAGTGTTCCCATTTATGTAACACTGACCTGGTAAGAAATATCAAGAAAATTTTAATCTAGAAGCAAAAGAGGAGCATAGTCTACCAACTTTCAGTAATAGAGGACTAATTTACTTCAGCTTTGGTTATGTTTTCATTTTTGTGCTTCTGGAAACAAAACAATGAAAAGGTTGAAAACATCTATAATTTTCATTTTCATGTACTTTTTGGTATTTTGTTAAAATTGAGTTGTTTTCAGAACCAATTGGCCAACAAGTTTTACTTACAAAACTCTATCCAGAGTTTCAGTCACACGAATTTGTTGTAGAACTTATGTGGTGTTTGAATTTTAAATTTTTACATGAATTTGTGGATAGAATAGAAAAGGAAATGAAAAAGTTTGAAAAAATAAAATAAAAATTAACTTCTATTTTAATCACTTTTCCTCTCCATATTTTTTTTTCCCTTCAGAAATTCAGAAACCAAACACAATTCCTAGATATAACATATTGTTTTTGACCAAAAAAAAGTGTAATTCAGAAAGCAGAATACCCTGTTCAAAAGTAAAAACAAACCATTTCAGATTGATTTCACCCTTTAGAGCCCCAAAGCAGAACATGATATACTATTACTACCTTAGATGGGTAAGATGGCCTAATATCTTTTGCATTTTTGATATATCAGAAGTCGGAGTATGAGAAAATAGAAAATCTTAGTTGTGATAAGATTTAAGGAAAATGAGTGAGATCCCCAATTTTGGGGATTTTCATGAATCTCAAAATGATCTGAATCATTTAATTTATTTTTTTTTTCTCTCTCTCTCAGAAGAGTGATCGAGATCATTTTGGGAATCACAGAGTCTCCAAATTTGGGAGTTTCAATCATTGTTGAAGATTTAAACTATTGACATTTTAATGAGGTGCACGAGATCTGGCCAACTAGGCTAGCCCCGGTTGATTAGATGGTCTAATATGGATGGATGTCCCATTTTTTAAAAGGTAACCTTATTTCTATCCTAATTCTACAACATCAACTCCTTTCAATATATGCAATTTGGATCCACCTTAGCCCAATATTTTCCCAAAACAACTTATCCCTAAAAATTTTTTGACTAGATAATTTCTACTGACTCACCTTTGTTAGTAGTCACGGGCGGTGCATTTGTAATCGGAGCCAACACTGGCGGAGACAACACAGGTGGAGCCAAAACTGGCGGTACCAATTGTTGTGCAAAAAAAGGGTACTGCTCATACCTCAGATAACAACTAGGTGTCAGTATCCTCCACCCTTTCTTCCCTTTGCAACACATCTGAATATCATCCATAAGCTGCACTAAACAGTGGCTACAACCACCACTACTTATATCTCTACTACACTGAACCAGCCCATATCTGTACTCTGAAGCATTACCCACAACTGACTCATCTGCACCATACATGGTCTCGGTATATGGAGCCTTTGATATCAACGTTTACATCAAAGCCAGCGTGTTAACATCTGGATCGTTAGGCGAAGTATTATTCTCCACATTCCACATAAAAATCTTTATGTCTGTCTGTTCCAATCCAAAAAAATTGGTATCAGAGTATCGTAACATGCACTGCTCGTACCATATGATTGCTCGTTCATCAGATGGGCATCTTTGTCTGATTCCTTGGCTAGCGTTGACGACACAGTTTTGGCATTGATCGATTGTGAGATCGCCTCTGCAGAGGTAGAGGCTGAAGATGCCATTGAAGGAGTCATTGTAGAAGCTGTAAAGGGCTGATTTGGAGGACAGAGAGGTCAAGAGAGTGTTGAGGTTGGCTTTGTACTTGGTTTTGGATGTGTTGTTAGAACTGCGTAAACAGATGCGGGAATTGTAATTTGGTTGACATGTTACAGAGCTGATCATTAGCCCTGTGATTGTGATTAGAAGTAATAAATTAGGTCCAAGGTGGTGAAGAAGAAACATTATTGTAGTTTGGTGTTTGTTCAATGATGAAAGGAGGGTGGTGATGATATATGATCATTATTTATTTGATTGGAATGGTCATGTTGAGGTTGGACTAAGTCAATTGATTTCTATATATTTTTAATAAGACTCGGTGGTCTCTAGGAGCGAACCAGAATTTCAAGTTGGGGTTCCTTCACTCTTTTTATTGACCTATTGGATATGGATCAAATTTTATATAATTGCATACAATCAGTTATAACATTGTTTTATACAAATTTTATTAACAATCAATAATTTTATGTCAATTAAATCATTTAGTTATTTGATTACAACTCAAATCCATACTAATTCTTAATTTCATATTTTAACTTATCAACATTAATTATAATTCAAACAAATACCGACCTGAAACTCATATTGAGGTGATTTTGTCAAATTGAGTTACAAGAATTAATCGTTCCTAGTAAAAGAACCAAATTCTACTAAAACAACCCAAATAATTTTTAATTAATCATGAACTGATCTTTTGATTTACGAATGAATTTATAGTTGCGTTAATCCAATTGCAAAGTTATTTATTATAAAAACAACAACAATTCATATTATTGAAAATAAATTCTGTGTTCAGGATAAATGAAAGTTTCGATATCAAAACCAAAATTATGATTAATTTATTTTTTATTAAATAATTATTTGGAAGAATGAACCAAGGGTATCATTTTCTAGTAGTGTCATAGGAAGACACCATCAACTTTCAAACTGTTTGTATTAGTATATAGGGTAAATTACATCATTAATTCCGGTATAGTTTAAGTAAAGTGTCACTTTAGTTCATATAATTTTAATTTAAATAATTTAAACTATAAACTTTTAATTTTATTACAAAATAGTAATTCGGTCAATTACTGTTACGGTAAAGGACCATGAATAAAACTAAAAGGTCCAAAGTGAAATTCAAAACAAACTATAAGGACAATCAGTGAACGGAAAAAGATTGAGTAAAACTACAAATATTTGTTTTGAATTCCACTTTGATCTCTCTAGTTTTTTACTCAAGGTCTTATTGAATTTTACTTTGGTCTCTATAGTTTTACTCATGGTTTTTTCCCATTCAAAATGTTGACAACGCATGACTATGTTGCAACAAAATTGAAAGTGTAGAAATTAAGCTATTCAAATAAAAATTATGATAATTAAAATTAAATTTTGCAAATTAGAGGGACAATAGTGTAATCTACCCTAATATGTGCATAGATTATTTTTCAAAGTGGCACCCCTCGCTGCCAACGGAGTTTTGCTCTTGACAAAAGCTCAATATAGTAAAATATTCAGCACATAATTAAATATGGCAACAAGGTGAAAGTTGTTTTAGTTTGTTTATTTATTGATTTATTTTATTTTTAATTCAATTTATTTTGTTTATTGAGAATATCACTAACGACATGGAAAGCCGGTTACCAGAAATTTATAGTAGTCTCTTTCTCTGCTAAAACATATTTATGTCATTATCTTATCTAAATCACTTGCTGAGAAATTTCATATTATATATGCTAAATGCCTTTGTAAAGCTTTCTCTTCAACTAAAACAGATGCCAATTTCATCATTTAGGACAATGGTAATGTTAATGTTGTTAATGCATTTGTAGGTTTCACATTATTTAGTTGTAGAGGGGCATTTTTGTTCTTGTACTCTATGAACTTTGTTTTTGTTCTAGTGTTGCTACTAGCATCCAAATTTCTTCTTTAGATTCCTCTTAAAAAAAATAAAATTTACAATTTTATTATCATAAAATTCCAATTGGGTCACAGTCCTAATGTAACAACACTCACTCCATCTTGGTCATGCTCACATGCAATTATATGTTTTCGTCTTGTTAAACTTGCATTACGAATCTTGTCTTGTTTTGCTTAAGTGTTGTTTGCTTTGCTTTGTTTGTTGCTTGGTGTGTGTAGCCGAGGTCATCCTAAGCCTAGGTCACCTTTGAGCCTCTTATGCCTAGGACCATCTTGGGATCACCTTGACTGACCTTCACCTTCACCCTGGCATATTGGCCAAGATGTCATTATTTAGGCCGAAATGTTATCCCTGCACCTAGTGACCTTGTTCTTGGATTGGTGCGACCTAGGCCGAGGTGTGGCACATCTAGGCCGAGGTGTGGCACAACTAGGCCAAGTGTTGTCCTTCCTAGCCGAGATAATTGTTCCCTTACTTGCCGATGCCTTGTTTTTTTAGCCGAGATCATTACCTGCCGGAGTGCTTATGCCATCTTGCTTGTTGAACACACTTTGTCATGGTCTTGTCTTTTCACTCAGTCGCCTTTTTGAGTAGAGCCAACTAGCCGTTGCCACGTGTCCGAGCTGAGTGTTAAATCAGCCGGCAGAGAGAGAAATGTATCATTTGTTATATGTCTTTGTTCTTGAGGAGAGAGAAGCTCTAGAAAAGGGAGAAGGAGTTCTTAAAGAGGAAATAGATTTCCAAGCTTGCTCATTAGAGTTCAAACCGTTTGATTCGTGTTTTAAGGTTAGAATCTTAATCTACTCTTGTTGTTCTTATTGTTCATCTAGCTGCATTGTATGATTGAGCACGATTTGTAAGCCATGCATCGATTTAAAGTTTGGTTTTAGAAAGAGAAAGTGGTATTCATGTGTTCTTGAATAAAAGCCTTGTTTGATCCGAAAGCTTGCATCAAGATTCATGTTTTTGCGTTTGTTTTCATAAAATCTTCAAGTATGGGTACCCAGGTCCATGTTTCTTTGAAAGTCCGTATGTGCTAGGGGACTATAAGCATTTGTAGCACAACCTTTGAAAGTCCGTGTGTGCTAGGGGACTATAAGCATTTGTAGCACAACCTTTGAAAGTCCGTGTGTGCTAGGGGACTATAAGCATTTGTAGCACAACCTTTGAAAGTCCGTGTGTGCTAGGGGACTATAAGCATTTGTAGCACAACCTTTGAAAGTCCGTGTGTGCTAGGGGACTATAAGCATTTGTAGCACAACCTTTGAAAGTCCGTGTGTGCTAGGGGATTATAAGCATTTGTAGCACAACCTTTGAAAGTCCGTATGTGCTAGGGGACTATAAGCATTTGTAGCACAACCTTTGAAAGTCCGTGTGTGCTAGGGGACTATAAGCATTTGTAGCACAACCTTTGAAAGTCCGTGCGTGCAAGAGGACTATAAGCATTTGTAGCACAACCTTTGAAAGTCCGTGCGTGCTAGGGGACTATAAGCATTTGTAGCACAACCCTTGTTAATGCCACCCCTTGAAACTTGAAAGCCTTGAAGGACTTTGATTGATGAAGCTTGAAAGATTTGTTAGACGAACTTGTTTTGTCCTTGATTTCGTGCAAGATATAATGTGTATCGCTTTGATAAAGATTTCGGATATTATTCATGCAAACCCTTTATTACTTGTACCATTCACTGAGTATCCAAGCTCACCCTCTCTATATATATGTAGGTGATGAGCAGGACGGCGGTGACGCCTAGATGTGCTTTCAACTTGTTTTGGACTCGCATTTTGTAGCATCTTGAAGATCATGCTTCTTAGCTTGTAATTCGCTGTGTTTTGTATATGGTGGCTTAAGAAGCCTTTTGGTCAAGATGTATTTTGTATTTCACTTTATTGTATCCAAGTTGTAAGACCTTGATAAGATGTATGACATTCCATTCGATCTATGCACAGCTCTTATGGACTAATTAGATTTAAATTTATTGCTTCCGCACATGTTAGCCCCATAAGTATACTCTGATTGTGTGTGAATCCTTGTAAGTTGGCCTTTGGTAATCTCGGATTACTGGCCATCATGGCACCATTCTACTAGGGGCGGAATGGGGTCGTGACAGATTGGTATCAGAGCACAAGTTTCTTATAGTACGTTACTCACACACTTCGAGTCCTAAAGAGCATAGGATTTCCCTTAGAATTGATGTTAGGAGTGCATCATAATGCTTGCTACTTGACAATGTGTGCATCATCTCGGCGTGACTATTTGTTATTTACATGCATATTATTTGATCGTTTTGCTTTAAAGTCACATTTTGCATACTCTTAGCATCATGAGGAGGGGTAGACCACCAGTTGGCTGAGATCATCCCGAAGACAGATTGGACAGATCAGAGAGATTGGTCCAAGGTTTGGTCCGTGAGTTGAGACAACCTAGGCCACAAGACACTAGTACTACCTCTACCCAGGCCGAGCAGACAAACGACCGACATGTAGTTCCGCCTCCACCTCTTCCAGCGCCGCAAGTGCCTCCACAACAAGCTTTATATGGGGACGGCACCATAGCCTTGATCCGAGAGTTTAAGAAAATGAAACCGCCGAGATTCTCTAGGGGTATAGAGCCGATGAAAGCCAAGGCATGGGTCTTGGAAATGGAGAAACTGTTTGAGATTTTTCCCAATACTGACGCCCAGAAAGTGTCATTGGCCGCGTTCACACTAGACGACGATGCACGAAGATGGTGGATGATGACCCGAGAAAGGAACCCAGGTTTGACTTGGGCCAGATTTTTGGAGTTGTTTTACAATAAACACTTC